GAGAGAGAGAGAGAGAGAGAGAGAGAGAGAGAGAGAGACGCCATCACGCAAGACACACACAATAGGGTAACAAAAACGGTTTTCATAATAGATTAAAATTTATCTAGAATTTTACTTGACGAAGAAGCCTCAAAATCTGGATTGTCAGCGAGAATTCGCAATGTCTTACTCGGAGAAGGAGGAGGAGGAGTAGGGGTTTGGGGGGGGGGGGTAGTGATAGGACGGGAAATGGGGTTTTCTACTGACCTGGTTCACAAACTTGATCCTAAACAAAGTGCACTTGTCAGCAAGTAGTTGCAAGTAAACATTGTGTTATTTCACTTCACTGCGTAATTCTCAAACTACGTCGTTCAAAACAAGATGCTGTTAAATTAAGCTTATCTTCACAAACATTTCCTTCATGACCTTGCTGATAATTATTATACACTCTTGTTTACTGGGCGACAATTTTCAGTTCTCCTCGTGAACCCGGAGATGTTTAGACTTCTTGCTTGTTATGCTGAAATGTTAATATCAGAAAACAGACCCCTTTTTTTCGCAGAATGTGCTACGTAAAAATCACAGTCTGTAAATTTAATTTCTTACTACACTCCAGGGGGGCAAGATTACTCAGTCTCTGCCTCTGCCGCAAACGTCCTGTTTTCTTTTAGAAATTTGTGAGGGTTCCTTTCTTTTACTTCTGCTTTCTCCCCCACCTCCTCTCCCTCCTCTCCCTCGGATCCCTCCCTCCTTCCTCCCATCTTCCCCATCTCCCCCTCCTCCTACATTGCCCTTGAAGATTGTCTTCGTAGTGCGTTGCATCATTTTAACTTAATACTCATTGCAAAGTGCTGTTTCATCTCTTTATTCAGCACATTATTTCAGTAATTTTGTTTTTGTCCCTCGCTAGTCCTTTATAAATGGCTGCCATCTGTAGATCTAGTAGCCTGCCCTACGACAGCGTCTCCGAACGAGAGCTGTGACTTTGAACCGTGTGCTGTCATCAAACCACCAGACCCGCGAGACACTGTAGCAGGGTGAGTGACTTTTCTCCTTGACAAAACACTGTCTTTATTATAACCACAAAACTATTTATTGTAAATGGGAAAAGAATTTTTCATAAGATTAAAAGTCAGCTGGACCATTGTCATGCGTAAATCGTTTGAAAATCTATTTAATGAAGTCAAGTTTCTCTTTTCCTCAGATATCTCTGCTTCAATTTTAGTTCTCAACATTCACCCATTTTTATATCTTGTATACTTTAGTAACAAGGTTTCGACATTTTACCTCTCTAATTAAAAAAATATAAAAAATAATAAAAATAATTTTTATAAAAAATATATATATTAATTATGTATATATATATTGCATTACGCAGAGAAAAGCGACTTAGGAAATCCAAATCATAGAACCAATTTCATCCTGCATCACTGTTGCCTCACGCAGCAAGGGAAGTAACAACATTTTTGCCAAATCTGGAGAGTTGAACTTGAAAGATAGTTTAGCTTACTTTAGCTCATAATTGAAATCAGCATTGAATAACTGAACGGATCAGGTAACCAGCAACAATCATTTTTGTCTTTCACTGAATAATCTGGTGCATACATTCATTGTAAATGACATATCTCGGATCTAAAGGCCAACCTTTCACACTGAAGATGGAAGTTGTGTGTACTTTTTTGCATGCCCTTTTTGAGCAGCGTTGTTACCGGTATATGGATATTACTCAGCTTCAATGAGTAACTTTCCAGCATCGGGATCTATGAATAAGACGGGCTGGTGCAGAGTCATATTAGAGTACCAATGGATTGTGTGTGTGCGTGTGTGTGTGTGTGTGTTTGTGAGTGTGTTTGCATGTGTTTGTGTGCGTGTATCTGTGCGTCTGTCAATTTGTCTGTGCATGTGTGTGTGTGTGTGTGTGTGTGTGTGTGTGTGTGTG